GCCGTTGCCCCCCCCCCGCCCCTGACAATGGCAATGACCGGCGGGGAGGCCGTCCCGGGGGCCGTGTGGTGGGGGACCGCGGAGTCGGCGTGGGGCCGAGCCCTCGTGCCCTGCGCACCCACCCGACGGAAGGTGGCATCGCGCGGCCCAGAGGGGTCCTTTCCTGAAGCATGGCCTTCGGGGCCTCCGACTTGCCGCCCTGCTCGCCGCGTCTCGGTTTTCTCGGTGCCGCCGGGACAGGACCAGCTGTGCCTCCTACTAGAGCGCCGGGAGGATGGATGACACGACGCCTGCGACGCGCCTCTCTCGTCCTGGGGATGCGTTCAGCGTCCAGATTCAAAAGTGTCACTGACCTGAGTGTGTGTGTGTGTGTGTGTGTGTGTTTGGGGGGGGGGGGTGTTTCACTGTGGTTGTTGGGGGGGGGGGTTGTTTCACCTTAGAGCTCGCTTGCTCTCTCTCTTTTAGCTTATTTAACCCTAAAAACAACCCCGTTAAATTGATCATTTTAGTATTCTCCATGCTTCATGTGAGAAAAGCGAGGCACAGCCAAATCATGAGTTTCTGAAGTCCACACTGTAATGGCTAGTGTTACAGGACTAGTATAGTTAGTTGTTAACGCTAAGTAACAGGTGACCACCCACTGTTCTCATTGCTGAGGGGACGCAGTCGATGGGATTAGCCATAATGCTACCTAGCCCCTTTTTTTCCTCCCCAAAGATGGTAGCATCTTGCCTGTTTTCTCATTGCCCGGAACAAGTGTTAACGAACAAGGATATGTTAGCCAGTTTTTACACTCTTAAAAATAGCTCATAGAGGGACCAGCAGTTAGTGTAATGGCTATGTTGCTGGACTCCCATGTAGTCCACCAAGGTTCGAGTCCCAAACCAGGTGGCTTAAACACACCGGCCACGTGTGCATGCGTGCCCAAGATCCTGAAAGGAGAATGGAGAAGGGATTCCTGTGTGGCCACCACCCCACTACCCCCGGTGATTTCTTGCTCTCTGTCTATGGTGAGTACATGCTCCCTATAGCAAAAAAAACCTCTCTTAAAAAAATAAAAAGCTCATAGAACACTAAAACCTTAAAACTCCTTCCAGATTTGTGGTTGATAATTCTAAAATTAGAATTATGCCTGGTCTATACTCTTGGGCTACATACGAAAATTGGGACTTGAGGCCAGCAGGTGGTGTGGTGGTTAAGGTGCTGGACACTCCCACTTGGTTGGTTACGGTTCAAGTCCCAGACCTGGTGGCTTGCTTTCTCACTTTCCCTCCTCTTTCTCTCTCTGGTTAAATTAAAATAAATGAGTGAATAAATAAAATTTAAATAATCATTTTTTTAAAAATGGAACTTAAGAAAAGGTAAATTAGGGCCAACCAGTGTCCTGGTGGTTAATGGAGCCAGATGCGACATAGCCATCCATAGTTTGAATGCTGACTGTGAGATGCCCCAAGTTGCAATGGGCAGAGAAGGGATTACAACATGACCGCTCCCCACCGTGTGTGCGTGGGTGCTTTCTCAGTCTCGCTCTCACTCTGGCCAAAAACAAAAAGTAAAAAGAAAAAGTGATCACAAAACAAGATGTTTTTCTCTACAAAAGGTTTGGCATTAGTCTCCTTTTGAATATGAGATTTCCCTCTGGTTTAAAAATTAGATTTTATTTACAAAAATTTAGTGTGGTGTAACTTTTCAGAGGCATGCTTTATCTGAAGTGAGTTATGCTTGTATGTATTAAAGACCATCTATTGACTTCAAAATAAGTAAGAGTAAGCTAGAGATAAGCTCCTGGCAATGAAAATAAATGGTGAGAGTGAGATACCGTACCATTCCAGAGAGTTCCAAGGGCTGACTTCTGGGTTATCCAAGGTGAAAGAAGTCATGAAAATACAAAGAGAGATAAAGACTGAATGTGATATATTGTGCACCTGGGGCTATTTCTTCAGCCTCAGGGTACCTTAAGAGTAACTTTTCATGCAATTTCCCTAATACCAATTCACAGCATGTACTTTAATTTCTCCACAGAAGCCTAGTGCATTATTCTCTGGTCATACTCTATTAACCAAGTTTTTGATTATTCATGGGACTTCGGGTCCCATTTACTTTAAATAATCAGCACTTTCATTTATACTTACAGTTAAAAGGTTGCATTATACCTAATGATAATCAGTTTTTAGAAGGTTAAAATGGTATTTGTTCTTTAATCTTCCAGATAAATATACAATTCCTTAGAGTCTTTATGATTAAAGAGATTTCTGAATTGCTCGTGACTTTTAGAGGAATAGGGAGGGAGAGTATCCTTAATGTGTGAATACAGAAAACACAGCAGGGTTTCTCAGCCTCAGTGTTACTGACATTTTGGACCAGATAATTCTTTGTTGACGGGGGGGGGTGCTGTCTTTCTGTCTCTCTCACTCATGAAATTAATAAACTTAAAAAGAAAGCTATGAAAGTGACATTATCGTGTTTATATTTCAGGATGATCTCTCTGACTGCATTGCAAAGAAGGGGTTGGGGTGGCAGGCAAAAGAACAAATATGGATACAGAAGAATCATCAGGAAAGTCCTAGTTTCCTAGAAATGTTCATGACCAGTGAGGAGGAGTGGTAGAACTGGAGAAGAGGCAAGACTGGACAGACACAGAAGGGATCGATTTGATGAGACACTGGGAGGGAGAGAGTGGGATGGAATAACACCCACTCTAGGTTTCGCTTGAGCCCCTGGGATATTGGTAGACAGGGACATGACAGGAGGGACTGGGATAGGGATGGTGATAGATTCCATGGGGGATTATGTTGGATATGGAGTAAGGGTCTTGTAGGCTTTCTAGGTGGACATTCCCAAGGCAGT